TACCAACAGAGATTTGACAAATACAAACGGACGGGGGGTGAAAAATAATAAAAAAAAAATCCTCTTTTCATTGGACCAGAAGCTGAGCTGGGATCTGTTGGTCAGCTGAAGCTGTCAGGAGGGCTGGAGGAATTATCTGCTATTATCTGCCGAGCAAACACCATCCCCAAGTGAAAACTGATGCCGTGGCATTTTTCAGACTGCACCAGGCCCTCACTCCTGAGTATTGGAGCCAAATGTTCTGCCATGGCCCTATACAATAGCCCTGCCTGACAATAGCTCAGTGTTGGGGTTGTTATGAAATCCAGGCTATTTTGGGAGGGCCCCATTGTTCCTGGTTTATATGGGCTGCAGATTTGTCTCGGGAAACGTGGGATTCATTGCAGAATCCACTGGAAAAGAGGAAGGTTTGGAGCCCTCTGAGAGGGGAGAAGGGTCCCTCTGCCAGCCAGACCTTCAGGTTTGTAGGATCATCATTCTCAAAGCTCCTCACCCTCCTGCAATCATTTCTGGAAGGACCAATGTCTATCCTGGAGCTTTCTCACTTTGTTTGCTTCTTCCCAGAGAAATATCTGATTTATCACCAGTCCCTGAAGGAGGAGATAAACCAGGAAATGTCCAGCTCGTGGAACTCTTGAATTTGCTGAGATAGGGAGGGTTTGTCCCCATAATGGGGCTGACTCACTGCTGCCATTAAAGAGGAGGGGCTGCTCTCTCCTGGCCTGGTTCTGCCCTCCTTTCTCTCCCAGCAGACAAGGTCAGGCCAGGAAATTTAATAAAATGATTCATCTGACAGGAGAGGGCCATGAGCTGATTCTGTGCACACAGAAAGCTCAGGGAGAAGTGACTGCAAAGTCAAATTTTGATGGTTTTTTTTGCAGTTCCATGGGATGCCCCATTGCTGCAAGAGTCCCTGGGCGTGTCCAGGTCCCAAAAATGTCCCTGTCTCACTTTGCTCTCCCTGTGTAGATCCATTCCTGCCTCCAAAGCTGCCTTAACTCACAGATCATTTCTGATCTTTGCCAAAATGTCAGCTCCTGCTGTAACATTGCTCAATTTAAGTTAGTAATTCCAGGTAAATCAACAATCTAGGGATGTATCTGCAAATGGAAGGGAATTCTAGCCTGGCCTGTTTTAGAGATAAAACCAAGTACAGCCCTTCACAAAAGAAGAGCAAAAAAGTCTCACTGACTCGCTTCTTTAGCTTTCTTTGGACTATTTTCTCCCATTATTTGCATGTTTTTAAGTAATTCCTGGCTTTTCAAAACTCTCTGTGTGCTTCTATATGGATCCTTCCCAAAACTGGGCGCTCCTAACCAGGCTGACAAGTAGACTGAGGCTGGTGGAACAACCCATGAGGTCTCCTGAGCTTGGTCTTGGTTGCACAGAACAAAAACCTTCCATCATTTTGGGCTTTTTGTCCTTGATCACAGCCCCAAAGCTCAGCAGAGCTGGGAGCAGCCTTTCCCAAGCCTTTCCTAGTCTACAGAAAATGTGGATTTGTGCCTCCTCTTGCAGGTTTAGTGGAGTTCCTGTAAGTCTGGACAGACAGCTTTTCCCTGCTGAGATCAATCTGAGTGAGTTTAGAGCTATCAACCCACATTTAATATGTTCCATGTGCATTTTTTCCCCTCCTTTTCCCCCCATTTAAGCCAATTCCAAGTTTGTGGGCAGAATGCAGACCAGCATATGAGAGACCAAAAATTCCTGTTTCATCCTTGCATTTTGGGGGGCAGAATTAAGTCAAGGAGCGCAGGAGTGGCTCAGCCTCCTGGTGACAGAACCCCCTGCAGGAGTGGGAGCATTCCTGGCAATTAGGGACATGCAGAGCAGGGTGGAGAACACAGAAAGGAATATTTGTTATCAAATCTTGGTGTCCAAACCCGGTCCAGGTGGAGAGAGCTGGGCTGGAAACTCCTGGGAAGCACGAGGCGTGCTCGGCAGGGCAGCAGCAGCACGCAGGAGGGAGCTTCCCCAGGCTGAATTCCAGCACTGATCCCGGGGAAAGAAACATTCCCAGCTCCTTTTGAGCTCCCTCAGGAGCTCTGGGGGATTCAGGGATGGCAGCATTTGATGTGCCTGTGCTGACATCTGTGTGTTTGCACCTTTGCTCCCCGCTGACATGCTCCACCTTCCGAAGGAGCCGTCGGAGATGCTCACCTGGAATGAATCAGGTGCTGCTGGAGTAAAGCTGAGCTGCCTTGTGCTGGCTGAGCACCAAGCCCAGACAAATGCATGGATGTGGTTTCCCTATTTTGTACAATTGTCTGAGGGATGGTTTGTTTTGGAAGCTCACCAGCCTTCCCAGCCTAAATTTGGAGAGCTCCCACGTGCCCAAACTGTTCTAGGTGAAGGACTGTTCCCCTCCTCTATTGACTGGAAGAGTTGTTTAAAATACAGCTGCACTCTGCCACATCAGAGCATTTTATGTCCACTCCAAGTGCTCCATTCTCCAAGGAAAGCCTTTTTCTTTCTTCCCTCAGGCCCCCAGCCCAGCATTTAAACCCAAGGAGGCAAAGCCTGAAGGGTCCCCGCCTCTATCTAATCATGGGAACTATGGCTTAGTATTGATATTGCCTTATTAAAGCAATTAGCTGAGCATTTCAGAAGCTTGTTAATGCTTCTAGAGTGACTTCTAATGAGGGATAATGATAACAAGCATGGAAGGTCTCTGGTGAACTTTAGATAATGATGTAAATCTGAGAAAGGTCAATGGTATCCGTGGATTCGATGATGGCCATTCCATTTCCGTTCATTACCTGGTTCAGCTTTTATTTTCTCTTCCCAGGCCATTTCCATCTGCAGGAACCTGTTCCTTATCCAATCTAGAGCCCCAGCACTCGGAGCACAGATTGACTTAGCCATGAAATAAATGATGCTGAGCCTTTAGTGCTCCTTGTAATGAGCTCAAGTCTAGACAAGAACAAATCAATTAGCAAAAGGAAAGCAGGAACAACAGGAGGCACCACGCAGGGACAGTGCTTGCATTTACATAGCAAAACATTCCCCCAGAGGATCCCAAAACAGGGGGCTGCACTACCAAAAACCAGGCTGGGGAGAGGATAGTGCCAGGGTGAAGGGAGATCAAACAGAAAGATAAAAAAGGGTCCTGGAGGGAAGTGAGGAATGGAGCAGCTTTGGCAGAGCTGGGCTGGGAAGTTCAGGTATGATAGCGAGGTCTGGAGCTCTCATACCTGAGCTTTTTATTAAATTTTAGGCAAATTTTAATTCTTGATCTTGCTGTTAAGTAGGCATTTTCTGGCACAGAGCATCACTAATGTGTCTGTGCTGACAGATTTCTGGTTTGCCCTTGTGTTTCAATGTAAATAGATTTGTTTATACATATAAATGGGGCAGATATTCAGGCAAACCCTGCTGTGATAAACCAATAAATCACAGCCCAGAGCAGTCAGTGCAACACCCACCTCACACAGGAGTGCAAACCAGGCTTCCCAGGGGTACAAAACCCTGGAAATGAGCTTGGAAAGGTGTGGGGGGATCAGAGCAGACGCTGCTCAGTGCAGGTGGCACACAAGGCTTTGCCTGGAGGTCTCATGCAGCCCTTGGAGGAGGCAGAGGATGGCCAGAGGAAGGGTATTTCCACCCCAGGCTGTAATTCTGATATGAACATTGCTTTCTGAAGGGGTTTGAGGGGTAAAGCGAGGATGTCTCAGTGACAGACTGAAAGAAGAGTTTATTTAAGAAAAAGGATGGGGAGAGATGGCTCCATTACTCCTTGCTGGCACTGCCCTGGGACATTCAGGATTTACCAAAAGGCCATTTAATCTACTAGAGATAAACATAAAAGCCTATTACCGAGCCAGGCAAGCTCCAAATAGAAATAAAGAGCATTTTTTTCTTTTTTTCCCCTAAGTGAGAGAGATCACCCAGGGGAAGAAACTCCTCAGTGGATCCCTAAGGTGCCTCTCACAGTGGGTGAGGGACCAGCAGGTGTGACTGGCCTCACCTCTGGGCTCCTCATTGTCCCCACAGCTCCATTTAAACTCAGATTAGAGCCTCAAATTCACCTAAACTTTCCTCTGGGGACTGCCTTGCTCTTCCTGACCTGCAGATTGGTTCTCCCAGGTTAATCCTGGCCTTTCTCCATCACTGCAGCACAAGCTGCATCCTTGCTCCCCGTGCCTCAGTTTCCCCAGCAGCCCCTGAATTCCTGCCCTGGCTGGGTGCTGTTGTGAGGATTAATAATTAACAGTGAGATTTTAAAATCTGGGCTGAGTTCAGAGCGTTGTTCCGGGCTGCTACAGAAATCAAAGGAGGCACAAGGTAATTGTAAATCATTTTCAGGAAGTCGTTTCATGCCTTTGGTGGAAAGATGTGTGGAAGGCAAAAGTATTAAATGCTTTCCATTCATCCACTTCTTGCTGAGATTTTTGAGTCCAATATTTAGATCACCTTCTGATTATTAGTGCAAATATTTGCTCTTTGTTTATTATTCTGTACATCCCTAAGATGGAAGAGGCAGGGAAGGAGGAAGGGCTGGTGAGAGGGGCAGATGGGAATTATTAAATAGGTAAATAAAAGGCCAGTCAGCACATGAATCACTCCAGATCCCAGCCTGGAAAGCTCCCCAAGCTGGGGAGCCCCCTTCCTTGAGCACGAGGGGGCTGGAGTGGGGTGGACAGTGGGATTGGGATCAGGATTTTTGTCTGATCCTAATTTTCAAGCTGCAAGGTTCAAAGTGATGGAGTAAACACCGTAGACCTTGGGCTCCCCCAGGTATCATTTTCAGTGCTAAGCTGCTTCCCCCAGTGCTGCCTTCATCTGAAATTCCTTTCTTGACTGATTTAGCCCAGGTTTGTCTGAATAGCTGCACTATTTATTTACATACACATACATATATATATGTATTTATACACTACCTGTATGTAAATGCTCACTATACAACATACAATTAGAACTTCAGAAGTTCTTATTCAAAAGAACCGACCCAAAACAGCCCCCAAAACCCACCCAGCATTGCCATGGAGCGTCTGCTGTCTCCTCCCCAAGTTCCTCCCTGAAGAATGGATGAAGAGTAAGAGTTACCCCATGGTTTGGATGAAATTATGTCTCTTTATTAGGTCTCTCTTCTCGGGAAACAATTTATTAGCCACAAGAATGTTGTGTTATACTACCTCCTCCTTTTTGCTGGGGAATTTACAGTTCACACACTGCACCAGCACATAAATCCAGTTTTATTTCTCAATTTATTCACCTGGAACTAAGTGGATTAAATCTTTTTTTATTTATTTATTTTTTTTCTTTCTTTAAAGGAGACCAGCACTGCATTTCCAACCAGCACCACTGCAAACAACAAGCAGACAAATTAGAGGCGTCTGCAGCCTTGCAGTCGCTTTTACTCAAAACTTTTAAGCTAGCCAGGCTTAATGGCGATTTTTTTTTTATTTATTATTTTTTTTTGTCCCCCTCTTTAATTTTACCTTTAATGACCCTCTTAATAAACCAGGATTGATTAGAATTTGGCTTTAAGAGATGAAAGGGCTCTGCAATTATCTACTTGTATATGCCCTTCAGTAAACTACCTTGTCTGCCCCTCTCCCACCTCCCCTTCTTAAGAAGACTTTCCCAGGTCCCTCTTGGCTGCGGTTGAACGATGTTGGCTCATGTCCATGCTGCAACAAAGACCTGGCATTCCAGCTGTCTGCTTCTAATCTCCAGTGTCAGCTCTTGTTAATGTTTCAGCATGAAATCAGAGGGGGCAAAGCTGCATGGAATATTAAAACCATGATCAGAATTCCACTGAAATGCTGATAGTCTGCGAGAGCGCCATTAGGAGGGCCGGCAAATCGCTGCCTGGTGTTGAATAAAAATAAAAAAAACCAAAAAAAAAAAAGGGAAAGAGAAGAGAGAGGAAAAAAAAAATGAAAGAAAAGATTTCCATCCACGGGGGGAAGTACAATCAGTGAATCGCTGGGCTAAATTAGCATTTTTTCAATTGGGGATCGAAGTTGATTTATTGTTCTACACAACATTAATGTAACTGTGTGCTTGACCTGTTAAGGCAGCTAATTTTTCATTTAAATGGGTCCTTTCTGCATGCAAAAAGGTTGTAATCATATTTCAACTTTGCAAAGTGATCAGGGAAGTACTGGACTGTTTCAAAATTGTCTTAAGGAGCCTCTCTTCCCTCCTCCCTCCCTCTCTCCCTTCCCCCTCCCTTCTGCCTAGTGGTCAAGGGCAAGCAGTTTGGGGTTTTTTCCTTAAAATAAAAAGCTGTCTGAAGTAATAAGCTTAATTGTCATTTGACTTGAGCTGTTTTACACCACTCTGACCATGTAAAAAAAGCATCTGAGTGGGTGTAAATATCACAGCCCCAAGCCCTGCACTAGGAGCTGAGTGTACAGGGAGGGTCTATCCCATTAAGAATTGCAGGGTTTGCATGAAAAAGGGGGATTTTTATCTTTCCAGTTTATTTTTTCCCACTGTCCTGAGCAAACAGTTGCTGGATATGACTGCAGATAGCTTGTATGTTCTGTAGATATTTGAAAAAAAATATTAAAAACTCTGATTTTTTGGCAGAAGAATTAGGAATTATGAGAAATAAGGGCTGAGCAATGCGACCAACACAAAGCTGGGTACAGAATGAGCAGAGCAGCAATTCCTGCTGCTTTTAATTGACTTTGCACCATCCCTGCATGGGAAGAGTTGTAGTTTTCCAGTTTCCAGTTTGTTTTGCAAATGGAAGTGATGACTTACTGGAAGTGACGCTGCCTGGGAGAAATTGCTGCTGATGCTGGCTCTGGAGAAAAATGAAGCTGTCCAGAAGCAAATTTAGTTTTCTGCTCTAAAAGGCCACTTTGTTTTTGTCATTTCTAGTCTGGGCAGGGAGGGATGGGTGTTTAAAGGCAGAAATCGAATCTGGGTGAGCAACCTGCTGAGGCTGTCCCTTCTGGGAGGAGGGTGAGGAGGTGGAGATAGGAACCCCTTTCCCACCTGAGCCCAGTTTGTTCCCTGTTCAGCGTGTCCACCCCAAACCCTGTCATCCCCAACTGTTGCTGCCTCCTCGTCCAGCTTTGCCCCAACCTGGGAAAAGCCTTTGTCCCGAGTGACATTCCCCAGATGACAATGGCCAGCCCCCCAGAGCTTGCTCCCCGAGCACGGGAAGATAATATACATTTCCAATTAGTGGCACACATTCTGGTCATGTTCTCTTTTTACTCCCTAACTATCTTTGTTTTGCTCCAGAGCTGTTCGGTCATTAATGAAATCCTGCAGTTCTGCTAATCCTGGATACAATGCAGCTTTTCTCTGGCAGGCTATCCCTGACATAAAACTACAGTTACCCAAGCTCCCCACCACATTAAGATTCGTTGTCATTTGCCTTTCATTACATACCTGATGTAGCACAGTAGCAGTCAAATGTCCTTGGCAGGCAAAGCAAAGTATTTAATTGTATTAGTTTCTGCTTGCTCCGCCTTAAGAACATTTTTTTTTTTTGCCTTGAGAGGGAAAGAAAAAAACAAACTAAAGAGAAAAAAAAATTAAAAAAAATCCTGTATCATGGAAACTTTATATTTCTGTTGGATGTAAATGGAATTATACTTCTCCAAGCAGTGCTGCAGCCCCCTCCCCAGCAGCACTGTATTGCCAGTGCCATATGAAATGCCTCTCCGGCGAGGAGAACAATGAGGCATTCATCAAAGGCAACCAGTGATTAGATGTTTTTCATTTTCAGAACTTTAAGAGATAAATAGGGGCCCTGTTCCTCCATTTGATGTACAGTACTGGTGGGATTCAATTAATCTCTGCTGATAAATTCCAAATTTCTGCAAGAGTGTTTCTGAGTGGTGCACAGAATGGTGGCTTCAGTTCCTCAGAATAGGGGTGCTGGATTTCAATAAAGAAATATATTAAAGAGAGCTGGGATGACCATGGGGCCTGGACCAGGGCTGTGAAGTTGTACAGTACTTCCTCCTTGCTTTTTCCCAACATTTCCCTACAAAAAAAAAAATAAAAATAAATGGATGGAGTAAGGAGCAAAACTTTAAATTGCCACTTTATATTTCAAGAGGTCTGAATCCTGAGCCTGAATTTTCTGTGGAGGTTTTCAGTGTCCCGGTGTGTTTGTGCCCAGTTCTGTTAAAATTCATGATTTGCTTCTTCATCAAGATACTGGGGGAAGTTTTGGTTTAAAACTCTTTTGAAATGCTCAAACTGCTCAAACTGCCCATTTTAAATGGGGTTAAAATGCTCAAATACCACGGGGTTAAGCAGTGCAGAATTCCCTGCAGGTAAATCCAACTATTAAGTTGAATTTCTTCAATTTTCACCTGAATATGCAGAATCACAACCAAAGGGAGGGGAAATCCAGGCTGTCCACGGCCTGTGGCTGAGAGTGCGGCCTAGGCCTCACGTGCGCATCCCAAAAACTGTCCCAGCAATTGAAAATAACTCACCCACCCCTTCCCATGGACAATTTTATTCATCAGATCGATGAGTGAGCAGGTCTCAAGCCCTGAAGGTGCATCTCGTCCTTGCTGCAGCAAAACGAGGATATTGATGGAGCAGCTTTGCGCCGCCGCTGCCGCCACGAGAGCTGGGTGGGCGCACCGAGAAAATAGGTCAGGTTTGATCAATACAGAGCTGCTTTCAGGAGGGCTGAATCTACTTTATAGAAATGAGCCAGGTCAATTAAAAGGAATAAATAAGGTGGGGAACTATCAAGCTTAATTTAGGGTGGAAGGGAAGAAGGAATGAGCGCGGTGCTAGAGTTGTGCACTGAGGCAGCTCAGTGAAGGTGCTGGCCCTCAGAAAGGTTCCTGACTGATGTCACAGGGAATTCAGGTGACACACGAGCTGGTGGAGCCCTCTGGGGGGATTTAAACACTTTAAAGCCCAGCTCAGCACAATCCCAAACTTGTAATATCGTGCACACATTTTAACGGATCTGCCTTAAATCGCCACAAGCCCTTCTGGGTCTATTTGTGGTTTTTATCACGGTCATGTTTCATGGCCAGAATTTATAATCTGCCTTTCCTTGTGATTATTCTGCACTAAAACCACACTCTGGGTGTTTTGCTACGGCACCAGCAGCCATTTATTTAGGGTGGCACACACTGGGAAGCCAAAAGACTTAAAAAATGGTGTTCATTAGGGTTTACTCCTGCTCCAATTCACTTCTTTGGAAAACCTGCCCTGGTTCTCCCAGAACAGAGGCAGATCCTGATCAAACAAGAGGAAAAAATGGGAATTTATGGTCAAACCCTGCACTCATTTTCCAGAGCAGCACCACGGGAAAATCAAGGGATAAGTGGCAGCTGTACCTGTGAGATGAGAAATGGTTTTGGCACAAATTTTCATCTTCGTATCTGAAAGATGCAGCAGCTCCTTTGTAGTCCCCAGGATTGATGCCAGCCTTGGTGGGGTCAATAGGAATCTCTCAAATTATTTATATCGAGGGCTTTGGATCAAATCTAAAGCCAAACTGCTCATAAAAAGTCAAGAGCTAGACTTAGATTTGGGGAGGCCATTGGGTGAAAAAAGTGGATTTTTTTTTTGCATTTCTGCTGGTTTTATCAGGTGCTTTCTGAATGCAGCTCAGGCTGTATTATCTACAAGATTTTATGTCACTGCAGTATCTCAAGCTGCACCGATAACACGATCTCACAATGGATTCTTAACACAAAACATGTAGAGAGTTGGGGAAGGTTTAGTCTCTGGATTAACTGAGTGGAAAATGTCTTTCATTGGAGCTACAGATGGCTCACAACACAGGGGAGGAATCTGGAGGAAAAAATCAGAACCTCTTTGTCTTTTCAACTTCATTAGGTTTTCCAAAGCTCTGAGCAAGATTGTTCATGAAATGAGAGAAGAGATGAAGAATTATTAGTTTTCATACTCCTTCATTTGTTTTCATCTCCTCTTTTCTCTAACAGAAAGCATTAAATGCATTTCTCATTTTAAAAAATATGAGTGTGGGGGAAAAAAAAAATCCAAGCCTTTTGTGGTTTTTTCATACATACAAGAAGTTGATACTTGAAGATCTAGCTGGAAAATAAAATGAAAATATTTTAGACCCAGTTCTGAGCTTGAGGCAGTGGAAAGCAGCAATTTGATGATAATTCTGACTTGTTTGGGTTTTCTCCATGAGGTTTTCCCTGTGAGGAGTTGGATTCCTGATGTGCTGGGGTGATGCTGCTGAGTCCCTGCTGTCACAGGGACACGATGACAAGTTGTGCTTCGTTAGGGCTCTCATCAAAATCCAAATCACAACTTTTTGCTGCCTGTACTGCCAATCCCAAGGGCCAGCTGGGTGGGAGAGGACAGCAGGGACAGTATCACCAAGCTGGGGACAGAATATCCTCCTGTACGAGATTAATTTCTCAAATCAAACCCCAGTGCTGTGATCAAGAAAGTCAGTGCTCCATATGATAGAACATACAATTTGGACCAATTTTCTCTTGGATTTGAAGCCATGTGTGGGGATAACTCTGTCCAGGTTGAAGTGGAGCTCTCAGCGCTGATGGAATCACCACCAGCAGTGTGTGAGCACCGTTCCTGGCTCTTTCCAATGACACTACTGAGACGATTCTCATTTCATTTTTCAAGCCCCTTACTGTAAAAGCCTCACAGCTCCATGACAGAACATTTAGAAAACATCTCCTCATTGTGGAAAAATGAAAAATCAGCCCAGCCAGCAACTGCAGAGGAAATCTGCAGCCTGTGTTTGGAGCCCATTAATAACATGACGAGTGACCTTTCTGGAGACAAGAAATGCGTGGAATTGATTGTCCTACCCAGGAGCTGGGCAGAGCTATAGATCAGTTATTTTCAGCCCAATCTTTGTTGTGGTCACATCTTTGGCCAGTGCAGGCTCACTGTGGGTATAGTTTAGTCTGGTTAAATCCAAATACAGCCGAGGAACGAGAACAATGCCTTGGTGTGGCTGCCAAAGGTGCAGCTGCTGGTGGCCATGCTGGAGCTTCTACATTGCAGAGCTGCTCCTAAAGAAGAGTTTAGAAAGTCTGTGCTATCCTTAAAGCTGCAGATTCTCACTTTTCTATTTTATATATATTTAACACCCATGCGATTTTTTTTGTTGTTGTTATGAGCTGGCAGAACGATGATAATTCAACCCCTGGAAATCTTTAGTATTTTGGTTACTTCATATTTTATCAGGGAATAAAAATCTCAGAGTCCAATGTCCTCCTTTCTTAGAATTAATCCCAAGGATGTCTCTGTGGTTGTGACAACCCACAGGTCCCAAATCTGAGGCAATCTCTAGGTGGGTTTCTCCAGCCTGAGTATTGGAGTTTTCCTCAGCTTTACTTGGAAATCAGAGAGGCTTCCCTGGTTTATATCACAAAAAAAACCCCCCTCTTTCCCTTTAAGTATTGCTTTATCCACCCAGTGCCATAAACTTCCAGGACAAGCCAAGAAGGTTAATTCAGGGAGCAAACAACTGGCCTGAAACCCTGCAGGTTTTCCAGGTTTGCAGGTTTTCCTGAAACCCTGCAGGTAATTTTCCAGCTGGGATTGCTGCCTGAGGGCAGGAGCTGCCTGGTACCCAGGAGTGGGGTGGATGTCTGCTTCCTGCCTGTATCCAGGAATAATATCCAGAATCCATTAGAGGGATGCCTAATCATCTTAACCTGTCAGATCCCAACCACCCTCTTTTAAGAGGCAATTTGTTTTTCTGCCAGATCGATGTTCTTATCTGTAATTGCACAGGCCATGAATGGCACCCAATAACCAGTTAATATTCAGTTCCATTCCACAGCAGGGTGGGGAGCAGGGAAATGTCTTAATTTAAACATTTATTGTACAACTGTGAAAATGTCCTAAGTGAAATTAATTGAAGCTCGGGGAGAATAACTTATAAATCACCTTGTCTGGCTTGCATAAAATGATATAAGGATATGCTGAATTCTTATCGTGGGGCTCTGTGGAGCTGCAGAAAGCTTTAACCCTGAGGTTACTGCTGTAATTCCAGCTCCAAGACGGGAGGAATCTGACTCCTACAGGTGATGTGATAAAGGCAGGGCCAATCTAATTAATAATAAGCCACCAATTTGTACTGTTGCTCCTCAAAACTGTGCCAGGCAATTTGAGTGTGGTGTTGATCCCCCCGGCCATGGCTGCCTTCTGCTTCAGCAGCACTTCAAAAAAAGGGGGGATAATCCATCAGACTGTGCCTTTCACGGGACAAATATCATCAGAAAGTGGAAAAAAAACAAGGCCAGTGCCATCAGCAGAGTGGGATATAAACAATACTTTTATTGTTTAATAAATGGCTTAAGCACAAGCTGGAAATTAGGAAGGGTAAGGGGGGATTTCAAGAGCGCATCGAGACTCAACCAACTCGCAGAGAATTTATTGATTTGCCAGAACAGTGGGACTGGGAGGGAAAAGAGTTGTTACACTTGAGGGAGGCTTGAAGAACACTTCAGGAAAAGCACAATATTGCAGAGAAATAAATGCCACATCTCCCTATTAACTCTTCGAGGGGAGCGCTGATGGAGCTTTGAGCACACACCTGTGATTTGTGAAAGACAGGACTGAGCTATTGACAGGAAGAAAAGAAAAAAAAAGAAGTGATAATCCTGCTCAAATCAGCTGCTCCATAGGAAACCTGCCCCTTTGGAGATGCTCCCCCTGCACATTGCAAATCAGCAAGGCTTAATTAAGCGCTGGGCAAGGCTGAATGAGGAGGTTATTGAAAATAGACTTCAGGAAAAGAACTCCTGGATGGGAGACAGATGAGCCAAAGCAGCTCCTGGAGGGGAAATCACATCTCTGTAACAGACTCTGGTCAGCAAACCAGGGGGAAAAGGAGGACTGGGTGACAGAATTTATATGAATTTATATAGAATTTATCAAGCAGAAAGTTTTGGGATAAAGTCCCCGACAAGGGGTGCTAAGGAAGCCAAGGGCTGACTGGTAAAGCCCTGATGTGCTTTAGGTGGAAGGAAAAAGCTCCTCCCATCCCTACAACACCCCAAGATGAGAGGGAATATTCCTTTGCCAACTCAAAAATCACTGCTACGCTCAGGGTTTTGTTGTTGCTTGAATATATTTACTACTGAGTTGGGAAAGTGGAAAAATAAGGCAGAAAAAGTGAAAAATGAGGCAAAAAAGGTGATTTTGGGGCCAGGATGGAGGTGGCTGAATGGTTTTAATGGAACCCTGCTTAGCCAAAAGGAAATCTCGAGCGGCTGGGTGGAAATTCCCAGCTGGCAACTCCAAGGGAACTCTTCAAAAGAATATTTGGATAGCCCATATCTATCTAAGTTATCGCCAAAGAGGGTGGAAGAAAGAGGTCTGTGATTGAAGAGTTCAATGGTATCACTGTTCAGGCTGCAGCAGTGGCTAAAAAACACCAGTGAAGTGGTAGGAAAACCCCACCAACTTACATGGAACACGATATTGAAAATATAAGATGTTATATCGGTGTCCTGTGATATCTTAGGTCGCTCCTAAGCAAGGGGGCCAGGGAATACACAGAAACAGCTGGGAGATGGACAACAGAAATAATTAGAGGCCTGCAAAAGTGCTCAAAAGAATAATTTCTTGAAAGAGATTGTTCAGATGAGAGAACATAGGAGTAAATAATAAAAGGAGCAGGGAAGGTGAATTGTACATTGAAAACGCTTAGAAAGAACCGGGTTTTGTACAGTTGACAAAAACCTGTGGAGCTCTTTGTCTCTTGACGTGGTTGAGGCCAGGAATCTGGTGGGATTGAAAAATTCATTGAACATTTGTACAGTGAATGGAAACATCTGCAGTGAAATGGGTGGGATGCTATTCTTAGCAAAGAACCAGCACCAACCCTCCTACTCCAGGGCATAGTTTAAATAGTGGCTGAGGAAAGGGGAGGGAAGAAAATTCCTCATTAAAGGTTTTCCCTTGTGATCCAGGAGGAGATAGGCACCAAAAAAAAAATTAAATAA